ACAGCCTAAAAAAATCAATGTGCTAGCTCACCTGAGGGGCTGCTAGAGTCCTGGCTCAGCAGCTTCCAGCTCTGGGGAAGCTTCATCATGTGGATTACCCTAAACTTGGGCAGGGTCAAACTCAAAAGGAGTTTTGCCTCTGCTCATTTTCCCTTGAAGAACCGGGGACCCTTGAACATCCAGGATCTCTGCAGTCTGGGGAGATGTAGCTCTTGCTAGGTGTGGACTTTGGGATTCACAGCAGAGAACCAGGAATTTTTAAGAACGGTTATGCTATATCTGATGAGGCCATAAACCCTAACTCAGAGTAGTGGGTTTGAGGATGGAAGAAGCCTTGCCATAACCGAAGTTTTACCAGCCTATGCCAGGTCATGTGTGACCTGCATCAGAGCACATGGTGACAAAGCCTGGCCTTTCTCTTCCCTCTGCAGGGTCCCAGCCCCCTGCAGGGCACAGAGCCACAGCTAGGAGAGGCACAAATATAATTCTCTGCTGTGCTAAATCACATCTTCCCAGTTTTAGGAGCATGTACATCAGATGCTGCTAATTATTAGGCTGATTAGCTGTAGCTGATGTAACAGGTTTAGTATACTGAGTATCTGCTTGTATTTACAGTATCCTTTCTTTTGCCTATTACACTGTTGTTAAAACACCAGCAAGTAAATATGAACTGTTGTCTTTGTATTCTTCCTAAACAGACAGAAAACAGCGCCCTTATAACCTGACCAGGATAAAAACTGAAATGCCTTGTTAATTTAAGCTAACAAGAATATTATAATATATGTAATCTGATTATCTTTTTTTTGTGAGAAAACATTGAAGATTTAGATCAAAGAAAAAGAAATTATTTTATTTCAATGTTGTTGCCTATAAGATTCATGCTATCATGATTGACTGCAATGCAATACTTTGGCAGCTGCCAAAGGTAACTGAAAAAAATATAGACAAAGAAAAAGCAGGAGAGGACAATCTTGCATACACACAGTACATGTATGGTAACAGATTAGAAAAAAAGCTCAGATAGGATTTACAGCTGTTTGGTTGAAGGCCATTATGCATTTAGCTTAAGTCCTTAGATGCTAACCTGGGTTATTTCTTAATGGTTGTTTTGATGATGAGATGAAACAATGGTTTTCTTTTCTTATTCTCATCAGAATCGAAAACCTTT